TCTGAAGATGACTTCCGCTCAGGTTGTCGAAACGTCAGTCACCAACAACAGTTCTTTTCAGAACTACACTCACCCGGACGATCACACCATACGAACTAATTTATAGTTAATTATCTTATCAACCCGCAAGTGACGGTCACTTTTTTCATTAGGTTTTATAGTGTTTTTGTAAAAATTGACTATATTTCGACCGGAAGGCTTTTTCTTGTCAACTTAATTCTACATTTACCATGCTTTAATTTTGTGCAGTTTTAATCACCAAATGAAGATCGATGGTTAGCCTGCGAGCAGGCTCACTTTGAGTCACGCGCGCGAGCGGCGAAGAGCAAAGAAAGAGTCTGGTGAAGGGGCGCCAAGAAAGTGAGCCGTTTTCTCGTCTCGCGCCTTCGCCGCGCGATTTCGCGCTCGCGGCTACGCCGCGCGCGCTTGTGCTCCAACGTGAGCCTGCTCGCAGGCTGATCGATGGCATTCCATATCTAGAAAATTCCCGGTGGACGCACGAACGGAACGCAAGTGCTTTCAGCGGTTTTTCTGGACCTAAATAAAACAAATTTAGACAAGTTATACATTGCATCAAACATTGGTGATTGCTTATGATGTTTTGAGAGAACATACGTATATATAGACACGTTATTGACATTTTTTGGTTTGTTTATTACTTAAAACAGATAGATTCTATGTTACCGTGCGTCTGTTCAGTAATAGACTACAGATGACGTCAAAATGTTGTAAAAACAAAAGTGGCAAGCTGTTGTTCTAACCGCATTTGACGACACTGAACAGACGCACGCCAACATGGAATCGATCTGTTTTATATAATAGCACGCTGACAAAACTGTTAATGATGTCATCTATGCGTCTGTCCTCTAATAGATAATAAGTAACAACCAATCAAAATACGAGAATAAATTGACTTATAAAATTCTTAACTTTATTGGTGTCCCCACATTAGTATGAGATTGTTATTTAAAGCTATAAGATCTTGACACTCAAAGTTTCATCATCATCATCATCATCATTGCATGAACATCATCGTCATTATTGATACAATAACGGACTGTGTCTTGTTCAGGGTCATCTTGGAGTAGTCTACCGATCAACCTTAAGTTGAAAGTAGCTGAGTTTTGCTTGTCTAACTATTTGCTTATTTCTTTTCGCTCCCTTTTTCATCATTTTACGGAATTTTTAACTACCCGTAACGATTGCATTAACTAAATTACTTACCACATTTACAACTCGCATTGCTAACTAACTAAATAAGATCACTACACTTACATGTTAAATTATTTACTTATTAATCTATTGACTTGAATCTTAATTCATGCTTATTTAGAACAGCAATGACATAACTTTTCGATTTTAATCTTTATGTTTTAGCTGTTTACATGCACTTCAACAGAAACCTGCACAACGAGGTCTTAACAGATGGCAGTGCTGTTACCATGACAACTGAAGATGTGTCAATTCCAATAACTGCTCCTTTCAGTGAAGGAGTTACTTATGAATTATGTGCTGGCATCGTTGATAAACACGCGAGCCTCACAAGCTTAATAAAACAAGAAATCCTAGAGGAATGTGGTTATGACGTCCCTGAGGAAAACCTTCAAGAGGTTGCATCATTCCATTCCGTTGTGGGATGTGTAGGCGCTTTGCAGACCTGTTTCTTTGTTGAAGTCACAGATGAGATGTGTGTGAGCAAGGAAGGAGGAAATCTCCGAGAAGGCGGCAGAATTGAGGTGTTCCATCTACCCCTTGCAAAGAGTCGCGAGTTTTTATTTGACACAACGAAGCATAAACCAGCGGGTGTCATGTTTGCTTTCATGTGGTACTTCAACAAATTTCAAGGTTGCCTGAATTAATAGAATCGGGTCATGGTCTGAGTAATACTAGGGAACATTGATTTTTCTGGCTACAATTTTGAACCAGTGTTTTCTATTTCTGAACATATATAGCTTTCTTAGAGAAACTATAGCGACTAAGGTGTACTTTGATACATTGTATTATTTCTAGGATATTGTGGGATTCAAATGCACACGTTAAACATAAAATCGTTCAATTTTCTTGGTCCATGTCTTATCAAAGCACGCTTCATTATTATGCCACGCCATTAGTTGACTTTTGAGGTAGAAGAACTTTTCATCAGACCACATCTCGCTGAGAGCCTGGACTCTAGTATCCAATCGGTCGTGACCGACATCATCTTTTTGGTCAGCGGATTCATCTTCTACCTTCAACACGATCTGGCCTTGGATAGTGACCTTAGCTGTGGTTGGCTCGCCTTCTTTGATTGTGTACATTTCTGTGTGCATTTCATCATATATAGTGTCTGTATCCTTGAGCAGAATACATCCCGAATCAGTGGAAAGTGTCAGTTTGTAAATGTCACTCAGCTGATCAATCTCGAGAGCCCTGCAACACAAAATACCAATTTAGAAATTCCCGACGAAAAGAAGAAAAAAACTCGTTTACTTTGATCATCAAAATGTAAATTCTCTTTGCTCGCGCCGTCACTACGCCAACAGTGCGTGTTAATCCCGTGTTTCTTTCGAGTTTTAGTATAAATCTACTAGCGTTCTATCACGAATGCTGTTCTCTGATTGGCTACGCTACTCACTATCCATTCTGTTTTAGTATAAATCTACTAGCGTCCTATCGCGAATGCCGTTCTCTGATTGGCTACGCTACTCACTTTCTATTCTGTTTTAGTATAAATCTACTGGCGTTCTATCATGAATGCCGTTCTCTGATTGGCTACGGTACTCACTATCTATTCTGTGATAGATAGTAAGTAGCGTAGCAGAATGCCCTTGCTAACAAAATGACGGCCGCTTCTTGCCATTTTTGAAGTGTCTATGACGAGGTTTTAGATAAAGTTTTCATACCCGGTAACCATTCATCAGGTACAATAAATTCAACAAAATGTCTAAGATCCTAAACCTAAAATTCTAATCCTAATATTATATTAACTTACAACAATATTCTACTTATAAATCTGATTTCCATGAATGCCGTGTGTTTAAGAATTATGATAGAGAAAGCGCTTAACTTGATTTAATGAACCAGTAATGGTTTTCACAATCCATTACCAGTCAACTTCACCTTTAGACACCCCGATCGAAGAGACTGCGGTCGTCTGCTCCGTAATTACTCAGAACAAATGGCTACAAAACAGAGAATAGTTAGATGACAGCAAAATAGACCTTTCCCGCATTCCACTTCAGTGCGTTCGAACACTAGTACCAGAGCGAGGTTGGGGTGGACATTTTCATACATTTGCTGAATTTTTGTCCACCCCGACCTCGACTGGGCGCTATTGTTTTTTGGAATGCGGGAAAGGTCTATCTAGCGACAGCAGTCGAGTTCATCTGCGAGGAAGACCAAGGCTCACCTCGTAGTCTTGGGTTTTCTCCGCCACTCTACGGGTAATATAGCATGTTTGTATTCCGGATCAGGAGGGTCAAGCACTCGTAACTGGGCATCCCTTTCACGTACTTCTTCATTTGATACTCGAACCGGAAGTAGTAGCTTACTCTTACTTCCGGTCTGTATCGAGAGGCATGACGCGTGCGGAGAAGGCCACACATACGGCCAGTGGACTGAGGAGAGCGCCAGACGAATTTTATGACCAGCGGCTACAGTGTAGGCAGTGGAATCAAATTTAACCTGCGCTTGGAAGGTTTCATCAGGCTTCAGGGCCTGGATCTTTTCTGTTGAATGGCCACTGTGATGTGTCAAGTTTAATAATCCTGAATAAAAAAATAATAATCAACCAAGGGAACATGCACATTCAGCCATATAACCGTGTTCGAATTAGTGTAGACTGTTCACAGCCCTCTCTTTTCTCGCATTTTCATTCGATCGTTGAACGCGCGGATAGAACCGCGAGAGAATATAATAGAGAGGCTGTGAACGGTCTAGAATAAGTGACGAGCCAGGCTTTATTCCGGTTAAATGCAGTTATAGGGGTGTTTCTCTAAGATTGATGTCTTTGGAATTCAATCCATCTGCAGCAAATTAAAGCCGGTTTAAGGGTCGAAGGCGCTAATGATTTGTGAACGTACCTCTTGTTATAAGTGAAGACTTTCCATTTGGAAAAACGTCACTCAGTCTAGCAGCTATCAGAGCACAGGGCCTGTCACAGGTCAGCTGTAAATGAACCTCGGCAAATCCCAACACTTCAACAGGTTCTTTAAGCGTCGCTGTCTCCCAGCACTCCGCCAATGCGTCCTCCAGTGATTGTTCCACTGGTAGGTCCTCAAGGCCGTTTATAAGTGGGACTCCACCCCATGAACCACTTAAAAAAGAGGACTTGACAGTTACTTTGCATGATTCAGTTGTGGGTGTGATGGACTCACTGCTGGTAGATTCTTCCAGGATCTGTGATGCCATCGTCAGTAATCTGTCCTCTTGCAAACAAAATTCTTGACATTGTACATTGGGTGAGGGCCAGCAGTCCTCTGCTATCCACCTCCCAGGCCAAATGTCCTCTTTGTGAGCATTCAAAATGCCTTTTGACAGAATACAAAAACAAATAATCTCAAGAGGACTACAGCAGAATTAAAATAGGTTAAGTCTGCATACAAGCCAAGCTGGAGGTTATCTTAGTTTCTGTCGCATGAAGCAACTAGGAGTATTTCTACTCCTTCCTACATAGAATGCCAGTCCATTGCAAGGATTAAATTCACCGCTACCCATTTGCACACCTGGATGGAGAGACGCACTGCAAGAGTAAAGTTCCTGAGAAAATAACCCGGCCAGGGCTTGAAGATGAACGCAGACCACTGATTCGATTTGGAGACAAGCCCACTAACCATGGGACCACTTCGCCTCCCACCGTTATTAATAATAACTGCATGGAAAATCAAGAGTGCCTTTACTTATTTTTTCACTGAGGAGAAATTAGATACTAGCAAATATTTGCCATTACACCAGGCCAGGACATCAAGCAAATTGTCGTTGATAAATTAATACCCTGCCCCAGCTGAGCTCACAAACTGAAATTCACACATCATTACTGTTACCATTGATGCTACGCTTTTCTCTGGGAACAACCTGTCTGCTCTTAAATAACAAAACTCTTCTTTGGGATGACCCAGACGAGGATCAATGATCTAAGATCTGTAGTTTACCTTATTTTTCAAATGGAAAACCAAAACAAAAAGAATGCAGTCATGAAATGTACATTATCTTTTCCTAACTTGACAATCATTCAACTGCTGGAAGTGAAACAACCACGTATAAAACAATTTTATCCTATTCAAATTGAATAACCATACAGAAAGTAAACAAATGCCACTCAAAGGAGGGGGGGGGCATTGCAACCCCTTTAATTCCTCTCCTGGATATGCCTCTGTAATTATAATGAAAGAAATTTAAAATACATGCACTTGGGAAACAAACCATTCCTCAAGAAAAGCCTCAGCTTAGGGTCATCCATGATGCCAGTAGGGAGGCCTTTTAACTGATAGTCAAACCATCTGAGGCACTCTTTAAGGTGGTCTATGCGAGGCCCAGGTGAAGAATCAGTAGGCCATGAATGGGACCATGGACCAATTAATGTTCGCACGGGACACTTAAGATGTTGTACCATAGTGAACACTGCATCCTTGAACAGATCAGAAAATCCACCAATCAGGAACACTGGGCATGTGATGGAGGTGTAATCTTCAGAAAGGGAGCCATACTGCCAGTAAGGATCACGAGTCTGATGTGATAACCAATGGTGAATCCATGGTTCACTTGATTTATTCAAGCGTTCTAGCCACGCTTCTTTCCACCTACATCAATAAATAATTATTGTAAAGCATAGGTGATGAAAATAAAGAAAATCCTCATCCAAAATAGTTTGATTTACCATCAAATTCACAGCCATCGGAAATAACTTATTTGCTATATGACTGAGAATATACCTTCATTGTGATTGACTGAGCTTACTAAAGGAGCATTTGTAATTCTCTCAGTCATGTAATAAAAAAGTAATCATATAAAAGCTTGAGCAATTAAGGATTGACTGATTACACTCCAATGTGACATTTGAAAATTCTTTCAAATTGCATTCACCTTTAGTTAAGACTCTGGAAATGTAGAGAGAATTTTCAATCATTACTCATAGTGTAAATCCTTAACAAATGACAGAGAAGTTGGACTGAATCAAAGAAAGCCAGATGTAGGAAAATCTGCGACAGGCAAATACCTGGAACCCAAGCTCTCTGGACGAGGGGGACGTGCATTCCATAGCAACATGACATGAGCCCACGATGGCATTTCCCTGGCAAAAACACAACCACCACGGTAGTGACAGTCATTTAAATACCGTTCATCACTAGAATAAGTGGATATTACAGTCTTCAGTGCTGAGGGTCGCCTGGAAGCCACCTGAAGGCCATTGAATCCTGCCCAGCTCTTCCCATACATTGCTGAAATTAATACAATAGATAATTATATGTTACATGCACCCAAAGTGAGTCTCAGTTGAATTACATTTCAGATCTTCATTGAATAAAAATAAAATAAAAGACTTTATTTTACCTGAAAGGCCGATCAGTGATCACTGGATCACTGGTATTAACTGGCGATCAGCATTTACATATAAAATACAGCTATTCATAAAATTGTACTTTAAAAAAAAACAAGAAGATATATATACTAAACATTTACATTAAAAATTACAACCATTCTGGAGATTATGTAAAAACAAGCATTAAAAAGAAGAGCAACAACAACAAACAAACAAGCAAAAAATTGAACCTAATTTACCGTACATACATGATTGATACAGTCTTGATCCATAAAATGCTTAAAAATATGTGTTTTAAACTTAGAAAGAGTGTTTAATTCTCTGATCTCTCTTGGTAATCCGTTCCATTCTCGTGCAGCGTCACACTTGAAAGTATACTGACCCATTTTCGTTTTAGTTGGTGTGACGTTTAAAAGTGTTGAGTCTTTAAGTATTCTTCCATGCAGATCAGACATCTTAACAAGATATCCCTCTAACTGGTGCAGACAGTGAACATTGTGTACGATCTTAAACGCTAATTGTAGCTTCAAAAACCACTGTCTACTATCTAAGGATAGCAGATATAGCCTGTTACGCATATCCTGTGAACACGTTCTGCGATTCACAGCAAGAATAATACGCATGGCCTGATTCTGTAATCTCAAGTTCCCGCTGTGGACCTTTCCTGGCTGAACACCCTTTTAAAAGAGATACCAAAACTCTCTTTTAACCCCTAAAAGGTACAACAAGCACACACACCCTTTTTATATTGGAGTCCCCTCCCCAGGGGTTCTTGTGTGATCACCAGTTGACAGGGAATGTAAAGCCACAACTCAATTCTAAAATTTAACTTACCAACATCTCCAGTACACCAGTCTTGCTGCGAAATCCAGTTGATCACGTCACAACAGTCTTCATGTTCTTGTCTTTCACATTCATCATAAATAAATCCTTCTGAGTCCCCAGATCCCCGCATGTCTACACGGACACACACATAGCCATGAGAACAAAAATATGAATGGCCTTTTTCATCCCTCCGTGCTGACCAGTCCATACGACGATAGGGAAGAAATTCTAGAACACAAACAATGAACACTTTGACAGTCAGAGTCCACTATACTTCAAATATAAAATAGGTTTATCAATCTGCAAATAAATGCATATTCTTTTACTTTCTTTAATAAAATTTACAGTGATAAAAAACCCAGTAAATACAGGCTTTCACAGAGGAAAACAAGATTAAAGGGATTAAGAAAACTTAAAGCATATTTGGGACTGCCTTCCTGAGGTTTCAAACCCATTCCTAATAAGTTCATGGAGTGCCACTTTTTTTCATGAGAACTCCTATGCTTTCTCATCTGAGCCTCTTTTGTTACAGTTCTTGAGTTAAAGTATCTGTTGTTTTCATTAAAGTATTTTCATATCCAGATGTATGCATGCGTTCAAAAACAAATAAGCACCTGATTCCTAATAAGAACCCCTTCTGCAATAAAAACACACCCTCTCCCCCTCCCCCGATCAAGTTACCAAAAGTAAATCATCACCCTGGGCACTAGCCTCCTTTGATGTCATTTTGGATTCATCACCAAAGGCTCCCTGGGGGAGGGAGCATTGGGTGATGAGCCCCCACCCCCCCTCCCTATCTGGGCACTGATCATTACAGTACGCTCCTAGCACAACACCGCAGAATACTTACACAAATTTACCTCACCTAGTATAGCAGGATATTTTTCACATTCTGCATCTGTAGCTTTCTCATTACTTTTTTCAAATAATTCTGGAATCCAGAGTTTAGCTGCCAGTTTTGTGCCATCACTCATTGGTATCCAAACCAATGGTATTCGATTCACAGCAAGCAACATAATGATTTGCGCTGTCTAGAAGGGGTCGCCACAAGGCTCTTTGGAATGTCTCACAGGACTGGCTGAGAAAATGATATATAAACAACAGTAACAATGGACCATAGCCCTAAAACAAAAGATCTTTGTGCTAACAAGATCCAATGACATTAGGGGTTCTAAAGAGCTTCGTGGCAACAGTCTAGAAGGTAATAAGCCGCTGTAAGAGTTTCTTTATTTAGTGGTCCCTGCATGCGTGGTTTGTAGTATCTCATCATAAAATAATGGACTGGTTTAATAAGCTGCTTAAATCACTAACCTTTTATCAGTGTCAAAATTTGCACTGTAAGTTAATAAGTCTTAAGTTTGCATGCGAGCCCATTTGCAATTTTGTGAGTAAATCATTGCATACCTCGCAAAATTCCCAAATACAGTGCTGATTACTGATACACTGCGAGCAGAGTCTCCTTCTTCATCCCGGTTTTTCCAAGAAGATCCACAGTTAATAGTACCTTTGGAAGATCGAAGGAGACCCTGCAGAGTAGACTACTGACTACTGCTCATCCAACAATCTTGCGGATTTTCAAGTACGATGATTAAGCGTATAATATAGTACAGCTGCAATAACTATTAAAGTAAATCATATCATAACTCTAAACAATTTACATGAATATATCACACATAACGAACAGTTGAGAAACTCACCTCGACCCTAACGAGACGAATAGCGGTACGCCTACCAAAACACGAGTACGTCACGTAAGCGTACTGGTTTCTAGCCGCCCCTCAGGTCATCACGCAATTCTCCTGCGTTGCCTGAGGTCGATTCGGGAGACCGGATTATTATTGGACCATCGTCGTCTCTTGTTTGGACAAAATTTAACTTGGAGAGAAATATCAAAGCTGAAATTTTTGTCGCTGCCCCGTTTTCTCAATTCCAATATTAATTTTATTTTTCCTGAAGTTAAATCGGCACATCGAGGGCTAGGGTTACTGCCGTCTCGCCAGAGATTAGGTCTATCACGATGAGTAACAGCCGACAGCGTAGCCTGCGTGGCAGGCGTCCGAAGAGAGAGAAGGGGAAAAAACGAGCGGGCGAAGCGCGTGATGGAAGGGGTTAGCATGCGCGATCCTCCCGCGCTCATTTTGACCCTTCCCTCCCTTTCTACAGCTTGCCACGCAGGCTACCGACAGCGCGAAAATATATATGTATTCGGATAATTGTCCGCGGAAATTATCTTTCCTGAGAAGTGAACAGTTTGATGACAGCGAGACTCGAGAAAAAGTACGAGCTTCGAGGAACGGATAATATCCAAGGATAAATAAAATGTCAAATGATTCCATAAAGTTGATCCTCTTGGTACATGCTTTTAGCATTCCTCGCATTTGTCTGTATCGTGGCCAATGTGTTTGTCTGCGTAGCTCACGCGAGTGCTTTGTTTTAGCGGTGGAGTATGAAATGATTAGGCTGCCAGACCACAGTGATCACCATAGAAGCAATGTTCATGTCACTAAAAGAAACATTATTATTAAAAAACAAACAAAGCTATTTTGGTAGGGTGGGGCTGGAGGGTTGAGTTTGCATGTTCCCTTCGTTGATTATTATTTTTTCCTTTAGAATTATTCAACTTGACACATCGCAGTGGCCATTCATCAGAAAATATCCAGGCTCTGAAGCCTGATGAAACCTTCCAAGCGCAGGTTAAATTTGATTTCACTGTCTATATTGAAGCCGCTGGTCATAAAATTCGTCTGGCGCTCTCCTCAGTCCACTGGCCGTATGTCTGGCCTTCTTCCGCACGCATTATGCCTCTCGATACAGACCGGAGGTAAAAGTAAGCTACTTCTTCCGGTTCGAGTATCAAATGAAGAAGTGCGTGGGGATGCCCAGTTACGGCTGCAATCGTTACAAGTAATATCAAATGTAACAATGACCTCAACTCGGAAACAAATCCGAGTTCCAGATGGGATTTAAAACCACGACCCTCCGCGATCTCGCCGGACGCTCTAACCACTGAGCTGCTAGAGAGTCTATGTTGAGCAAGGATGAAATAAGCGTCATCATTTCGGGCTGTATGACCACGCAATGCGGTTCCAGTCAAAGACCCATATTTCAGAAAAGAATACTCTGCGCATGCTTAGAATATTGCGTATGATCAGAGGTTGCGATTTTTGGTGTTGACCAAAAGTAGCGCGGCCTCAAGGGACAGACAAATTACATATAGAAGATGATAAATAGCATTAATGAAATAATTTACAATTGTGATGAAAAAATGAAGTGTTAAAGACAGACAGAAAAGGAGATAAAAGAAGACAACTAGTTTTTTCCCCCGGAGAAGGAGAGCTCACATATAAAAAGACAGGGGTGCTTGCCGGAAATTTTGCGAAGAACCCCTAAGAGGTATTGTACCAAGATCCTGCATTGTGGGCGTGGCTTCAAATGTTTTTCACCACTGCCTAAGCCCTGCACACGGCGTCTGCGCCCGCAGTACGAGCGGCAGTCAAAACTGAGCTGTCCTACCGAAACGACACGATAGGAGCCTTTTCCTTCACAGCTAACAAAAATGAAGACAAAGCTAAAGTTGCTTTGGCATCTTCTAATAATTAACTGGAGAATTCCGGGTTTAATTTGACGAGGAACGGTATATTTTGTTCAAAATAACACAATTATTGTCCTACGTGGCGACACTCGACGAACTACGAGCGAGTTGCCATGCGGGACGCCGGCGACCCATTTTTGGCGCCAAATTAGAGGCTGGGAGACACAAAATGTTTCATATTTTTCACTTTTTACAATCTGATATGGTTTTTGGAATTGTAAATCCCATTTCATGAATATTCAATGCCATCTTCAGTGGGAAAAGTTCCCTGATTTCAACTCTTTCCCGTTAACTTACATTGACGTCAGGACAGTAAAGTAAAGTTTTTCCCGCCTACTGAATCCTGATTGGTCAATTCAAATTTCGGGCGCGCTGCATGCGAAGCCAAGAGGAACAAATTCTAAAACAACACATCAACTGACACTTTCATAATTTTTAATAACGTTAAACACTACTTTGTCAAAAAAGAATCTCCTGTCATATTTTTTGGGCTCAATCATGGCCCTATAGGGTACCGCAATACACCCCGCTGCTGACGTTTTGAGGCTGAACACCCTGAGAGGTAACAAAACCACCTTCTTAACCCCTTTAAGGTACGACAAGCATCCCCGTCCTTTTTATATGGGAGTTCCGCCCCTCCCCCCCGGGATTTGATTGTTCCTCGGAACAATGTTAGTCTTTTCTGATGGTTTTTAACACCGATTTTTCTAAGCTTTCTTTGCAGAAAGTTTTAATTTGCAAGTATTTTTGTTACAGTATTCTATGCACTTTCCGTGCTTCTGACTCAGGATTACATAATTATCCCAGAATATCCGCCGCTTGTAGGATGACTGTAAAACATTCCGTCAATATTCGACAACTAGGAAAAAATTCACCAATAATCCCCCCCACACACCCCCCCTCCGGCAACACCAGTGGCTTGCGCTCCTCAACTTTCATTTCGTTGATCTAAATCTTTGCCAGTTCAGTTTCTTGGGGCCTTTTTCACCTACGAAGCATTGCCAAATTGCAGGAGAAGTATTGTGACCACGTATTTTGTCGCTTTCTGTCCTCTTCACGTAAAAATTTGTCTGATATTAGTAGCTGGCATGGCACTTCGTCCTAACAGAAATATCAACTTTCAAACTGTATGAACCAAAGGAAAGAAAGTATTGCTATTACATGAAAGGGGCTCCCACAATAGTCAAATTGTTGAAATTGTACTTTCGTCAAAACATGGGAGAATTCCGCTCAAGTTCCGTTACATTTTACACGGTATAGGTTTCGGTTTGGATTTGAAAAGGGCGCGGCGTACTGAGGTTCCATCGTAGTGGGCGTGTGTTATAAGCTGGCATTCTCTAAACTACACAGAATACAGAGCCACTTATTTGCATACCACTGCATGACGTTTAGATGACTTATTGTACCCTAAAACAACATACTTCCGTGTTGGAAAACAGCTGATGGGGTCTTTCCGTCGCGATCTATTGGGTTCAGTCACGTGTCACGTCATTCACGATCGAATAACGATATCATTTCACATAACTTTACTTTTTCTTGTTTCATACCAGCCTAAGGAATCTCCGGATAATGACCTCTTGTGATTTGCGTATATGCCTTGTGATTCTTGTTACCACGAAGATATAACGTCTTTCAGTAACGCTGGATTTCGTCGCATCAGCTAATTTTGAAACGTTTTGTGTAAACCAGTAATAAGCCCCCCCCCCCCCCCCCCCCCC